TGGGAAAATTTAGGACTTAATTCTTAGAGCAAAATAAAAGCATCTTTCATTCTTACCTGCATAACAAAAAGGCTGAAGTTGAGAAATTCTGTAGAAGTTTCTGTAAAAAAATATTTATGAAATTGTTAGACAATTCTTGTTACTCTGTACCATTTACATTACTTTGTATGAAAATATTGCAAGTGTATTTTTCAATAAAGAATTTATAAACTCACATTTTTATGCTCTTGTATGAGAAAAGCACCACATGTGCAAAGCTAAAAATAAGCTGTAGCTCCCAGACACGAGGTGTGACCGCTTAGTGTGACAAGAAAACACCAAAGTGATCCTATAGCTGGGGTCCACAAGGTAGCAATACTTGAGATTGCAAGAACCTCGCTCAAGCATTGCGGTTCATGGTTTAAAAAGGGAAGAAGCGCACGTATTAGTCACAGAAGAAAGAAAAGGCTTTACTCTTGCCCCAGTTTAGTCATCGTGTTTGTACTCAACACATTTCTTCCTGTTGCTCTGGCAGAATTTGGCGTGAGGGAGCCTGCCTAGGCTGCCTCTACTGGGGAGTCTCTCCAAGCACGGCGGAGGAAGAGGAAGGCTGTCCAGGCTAACACAGCGGAAGAGGACCCAAGAACAAAAGCAAGGTGGTCTGTCTTCCTTGTGGGAGCTTTTAATACAAGAGCTCACATTTTAAGCCAATGAAAGCAGAATTATTTTCGTACACACTAGCTTACGTACCCCTATTTGAACTAAATCAGGGACATTTCTAAGAATCCTTGCTGAAGTTGTCAAGAAAGAACTGTGTTGCCCGCTGGCCACCAAGGTTGACTGGCTTCCCCTGCACTTGTACCTGGCAGCCCTGGCACAGAGTTTCATCAGCTTCCCTTGTTTCGATCCCTTACTGAAACCAGTTGCTTAGTAACCCTCAGTTGTAAATAATAAGATTGTAGTTTATGCTTTGAAACAAATGCTAAATAAAACTACTTCAACAGAGGTGTTCCAAAGAAAAAAGAAAAAAATCTAGTATGTAAATATAGTTTTTTTAAAAAAGTCTCAAGCAGTTTCAGAACATTTCTTTCAAGACTTCTCTAACATATTTCTCTTTCCAAGATAGTGTTTACAGAGGTCAGAAATCCAAAGATGAGATTCAAAATGCCACTTTATCAAAGGATTGGCAGGGACTTAAATTTAGGTTCTGAGGTCATTTTTTCATTACATGACATATCTGTGCTAGGAAAGACAGCTGAACTCAGGAGAAAGGCTTTGATTTCAATGGTACTGTTTCAGTACTCATTCATCTACCTTCTCCTGGAACAGCTTCAAACCACAAATTCCATTACAGAAGGCGCAGTCAGTGTTCTCTCCGTCTTCTCAATCTAAAAAAAAAAATTTAAAAAAATTATTCAGACTATTCATGAAGATGAACAAAATTCAGCATTCTTTAAATAAATAAAATTATTGTCTTTTCAGCAAATTGCTGTTAGCATGGATTTAGCTCAGAGCAATCCAACCTATTCACCAGACCTAGAGCGGTCCCTAACAGCTCAAAGATAAACAAAACTTACTCAACTAACCATCATTCCATCGTTCTTCCTTGTCATTGGTTTTACTGATCTTTAACTGTGGTGTTTTCTAAACCCCAGCACCAATGGGACGAAGAGCAGCCCCACATCTCTGAATTGAGGTAACACGTACTGGGATTTGCTGGGTACGTATTTCACCCCCAGCACCACCGGTACGTGTGGGGACATGGTCGCTTTTCTGCCTGGTGCAGCAGTAGGAATCAAGCCCTGTGTGCACCCTGCTGCAGCCCAGATGAAAGAGCAGCCCAAGATTAGAAGGATTAAACTTCTACGCAAGTCCTTCATCTAAGAGGCTTAGAGAATCTGCAAGTCAGTGATCTACTACAAAAGCTTTGGAATCATCATACAAATAAAGAGGAACTATCACATTCCCATTCAACACCCTAGTCCTGTTCCTGGCCCAGCTGGCACATCGTGCTCAGACACAATACTCGGCCCATCTCCTGCTTCACACCAAGAGCCCTTTAACTAAACTTTTCTAACGCTAGATCTGAAGCATTCAAATTTCCATTTCAGCCTTCCAAGAAAAGAGAAGTAACAGCAGGAACAGATTAATGTTCACAGCACTTTAGTAGCTACACTCCAGACCAGCACACCAACCCTCAAAAACTATTCCCATTGTGCTTTCCTTGAGAAAAAAACACCACCACACACATCACCACTTCCCAGGCAATCCCAGCAGAGCTTTCAGATCAGTTCCTCCAGTCCTGTTTTCTATAGCAAACTCAGAACAGGCGTCTGACAATTCCAAGGCACTTGCAATTCCTCTCACCCGCCAGGTGTCCAAAATGCGCAGGCTAACAGGGGCACTGATGCCACACAACAGAAAGCTGGCCAAGGTAAGGGACACAGAGCCATCGCTGCTTCCTCTGCACTGGGGTAGGAGGAAGCTGGCTGACAAGTGCAACCCCATGTTAAAGCCCACTTCAACCGCACTGAACCCCATTCTAGGGACCTGCCTAGCAGAGAAGAACTACTGAAAGCAAGCTGCTCGATAGCTGGGTCATGCTTTACTAAAGCCATGTATTGGTTAGAAAGGTTAACGACCAGTGGCACATGACATGGAGGACGGAGCAAAATTGAACAAATACCTCTTTAGGATTATCAGAATCTGTTCCCTAGAATGCGAACAACAAAAGCCAGAAACACTATGAAGGATTTTTTTTTTTTTTAAATAACAATCAGCTGCACAAGCAGCAAGAAAGAGGTAAGAGAGCAATAAAGGAAACATTTTCCAAATACTAAGCAGTTGTTAGCTACCCTGCACTCCCAGAAGTTTGATTTAAGCACGAGACACGAGCCGTGACTGCTGCAAGCGCTTCTCTATGTGTTGTGCCACACGTCCGCCCCTTCCCATGGGCACAGAAAGTGCCGGGAAGGCGCTAGCTGGACGCAAGCTATTTCCTGCATGTTGCCATCCTAACACCACAAATTGCAAGGCACAGCATTACCCAAGAGATACTGAGAGATATCCAAGAGCATCAGAGGGATCTAGACCAGAGCAAGTGAAGAGCTGAACCCTGCCCAAGCTACGCAGAGAAAGGCCCTTCCCCGTGCATGCTGCCTGCGGGTCTGCGAAACTGCGAGCACAAGAAAAAGCAAAGCGTGCCCAACAACCTAAGTACACTCTTGAGAACAAAAGGTCTTGGGACAGTTCCCTCCTTCAGCCCCGCTCCATGTGCGCAAACACTCGAGGCCTTTGCTTCTACCAAGTATTTCAGAAGTACCCGAGGCAGAGAACAAGCGCAGTCCCACAACACAGCCACTGTTACAGCCCTGTCCTGCACTACCTACAAGCATTTTTCTGGTACCAGAGGAGGGAAGCTGAGCAAGACACCAGTTCCTCCACTATCACCTCCCGCTCTCCCTCCCTCAGGAGCAGATCAGTAATGAGATCACTCACCCTTCCCACAAGGGGTGGCCATGGTCTTCGATCTCAGCAGCAAGGACCCAGGGAGAAGCA